AATGGTCTAAGCAAATACCACAGAAGCTACATTTTTAAAAAGCGCCCCACTTTACCCACATTCACCCAAGCAGTCATCAAGAAACAAACATAATGTGGTAATCATTTGTCTTGTCGTGGTAATATGAAATTTTATTTACAAACATCGTCTCCCTAAAGCGAAAGACTGAAGTTCCCTTCTGGCATCGATGAGGTGTACAGTGACGCACAGGTAGTTATGGTTATTGTCAGATGTCCAGTGGTCCCCTCGTCAGTGCAAAGTCAGAAGGGGGCGTGTTCAAAAAGTCCACAAAAATGCGAACAGCAAAAAAAGGCTTATTATAATCATGGCATAGTGGTTAGCGCATAGAGCTTGGAATCCTGAGGTTGTGAGTTTGAACCCATTGCCACTCTGGCTCCATGAGCAAAGACCGTTAACCCCAAACTGCTCCCCTACTGCCATCCCCAGGGGATGGGTTAAATGCAGAGAGTGAATTTTGTTGCGCTGTACTTGTGACAGTGTAATGACAATAAAAACGCTGTGAAAAACAATCAAATCTGCAGGGTGAGGGTAGGAGTGATAGCGAGCGTAGTGAGGCAGAGGACATCAGTGAGTAAAAGCCTCATGCAGGAGATGTTCTGTAAGCAGATTGCATTGTTGTTGAAGTTGCTTGTTGCAAGATTTAAAAAAAAAAAGGTGTTATTACTGTTTGTTTGGTTTTTTAACTTTTTATTGTTTAATTGCACAAATTTCCAATGGAATATTACATTCAGTGAATTTGTTAGCACTTCAATATAAAATTATTTATTAAAAGGCTTTTTCTTTTGTTCCTAAAAACTGGTCCTGGAAAGAGGGGGTCTCCTTATATTCAGGGTGTTACAGTAGTTTTATCTGACTGTAAACATGTGCTTTAAGAAAAGGGAAAATGTTAGATTTTATGTCACTATGCACTTGATAGTTAAGGGTTAGTAAGAAGTTAACTTAAGTTAGACTGCTGACTGTTATGTAATATGGTTTATCTTATATTTATTATATTTTACTATAAAAAACTGAAATGTTAGAACTGTAAATATACAGTTATATGTTTATATTGCTGTTTTTATGTATTTCTTTACTGTTTTCAAAGCTGCACTTTAAAAAATGAAATTGTCTAGAGAGCTGTTAACGAAATTTCTTTTTGTTTACACTTGTGTATACAAAATGACAAAATAAATCTGTCTAAGTATAGTGCTTAGGGGGCGATTTGGGATTCAGCAATTGAGTCTAAAAAATGTATCTCTTCCCTGAGTTCTGTGTGACACATTCTAATATTCACCTCTTCATGTTTTGGTTTTATAATGCAGAACTTTAGCAGTTTGCTACATTTAGGTAACTGGGTTTCTGTAGTTTTTCAGCTGTAGTCCCAGTTTAATTAGCATCGTCCAGCTGCTTTTCATCAACTTCATTAAAACAATTATCAGTTTAATAAGCAATAGTAATTTTGGGGGATTAATGAATCCTTGTTCTATTCACTATGCTGTATAGACAAGCTGAAGAATCAGTCTTGACTCCATTTCTGGTTCTCATCCATTTATTTCCAACTGACAAGTCAAATCACAGAACACGACTGATCACAAAAGGGACACGGATTAAAAACCAGCTTCATGGATTCAACCTGCAGACATTTCATCAGCTGACACTAAACCACAGGAAGTGATGTCATAGGTGGAGGAGGTTCTGGAGACCACAGGGACTGCAGGGATCAGCTGGATCCCTGAGGTCCAGGTTCTGGATTTTCATCATCTTAAGACAGGTTTGGAGGAGAACCCCTGGATGTTGAACCCAGAGAGCAGAACCAGCAGGAGGAACCGCTGGAGAAGAACCTCCTTTACTGACAGATCATGGATGGATGGTGGAACAGGGGAAACATCTGGGTTCAAATTTCTGCTAGATTTTTAGCTTAAAAGCAGAACCTGTTTTAATGCAGAATAACCCAAAATGAACGGTTCTGATGGAATCATATACCGGTATCAGATTTAAAGTAATTCAGGTGACATTAGGTTCTGTATTAGTGCTTCATAACTGCATCTCAGTTTACTTTAAACCCATTTAGTCCAGACTGTTTGGACTGCTGCATACCTCTGAATTTAACCTGAACCACAGACTCGTGAGCTTTAGGTGAAGTAAGAAGATTCTCATCTTCTGAAGGTTGGTTTTTCCTCTCGGGTTCAACAGACCATGTGGAATCAGAAAACTACTGTGAGGCAAAGCTCTGAAAGGATGTTTTAGATCCCAAGAGAGATCCCGATCTGAATGCGATGAACATGATCAAGATGGAACTCCTCTAGTTGGATTTATAGGCTTAGTATATAGAAGACTTTGAACGGTCTTGTTCTTGTCCTTCTGGTCATGCAGCAGAGGTCCAGTTCAGCCTGAAATTACCCAAATAAATCTTTCCAAAAGTTAAAAAACTGCAATTTGTTTCTAAGTTTGAAGACGTTTTCTTCCCATCAAGGAAGCTTTTTCAATTCCTCTAAAATCTCCACAAACCCAGAAATCTCTCATGACACCATTCCTGTTAAACGTAACCTGTAGAACCTGAGGGACATTTTCTAAAGGCAGGAACGTGTTACAGCAGTAAAATCTTGACAGATAAGGTCCAGGGATAAAAATTAATTTAAAAAAAAAAAACAGGGTCTTTGGTTCTTGGAAGTCGGTCTGACGGCTCAGATTTCTGTCCAAGTCTGGTTCTGGCTAAAAAAAACAAAAAAAAACTTGAAACTGAAAAATCTCCATGAGCAAAAGTCCAGCTTCTCTGAGCTGAACACAAACATCTAAATGACAAAACTTCCAAATAAATAAGAGACATTCACTGGGCTCCTTCATCCTGTCGCTGCGCTGCGATCGGCCCCCTACAGGAGAAATCAGGTACTACACAGTGCAAGGAAGATCTTCTTAATGCTACGTACACACCGCTAGCAGCAGTGCTTCATTTTTTATGCTTTTACAACTTTAGTTCTGACGCGGTGCTGAAGCATCTTTGCTGCTCCAGCTGCACGGTCTAAAAGTGGGTCTGATGCGCGTTGGGCGGAGCTACCCTATCCTTTCTTTGCCTGTAACAATGGCAGCTATATTTGCTGTAATCAGTGGGTAAAAAGTAGTTTTAATGTTTTTAAGTGAGAAAGTCCACCTGAAAACTTAATCTGTGCAGTCAGTTAATCAAGATTACGATCCTGCCTTCAAATATTATTTCTCTGTCAGAACCCCTCAGACCCCTGTGCAACGGCGGTGCTCTGTCACTGGGAATCCAGTTCAAGAGCAGCCTCTGCCCCGGTCGCCTCTTCACGGTTTGCTTCTACTGATCGCAGCAGCTGGAAGTAGATTTTAGCGGTTTTAATGTACATAATCCAAACTGCAGGCCCCACAATAATAAAAGTGAACATGTTTAGACAGCAGATTTCAGCATTTTAAGTTAATTTAGATGTTAATGGTTTCAGTGGAGTGATCACAATGATCTGCATCAGCAGCGCTGTGCCTCTCTTCCTGCCAGCTCCCAGATCAGCATCTCTGATTGGTTGATGTGGCACGCCGAGCAGCAAAAGTTCAATTTCTCCAACTCAATTGCAGCGTGTCCAGCGCGTCAAACCCTCAGAAGCTCGTGAGGTGATGCTTCAGCTGCTCAGACACGCTGCAGGACCTTTTCCTGCGCCTTGATGCGCCTCAACCATTGACTTTGCCTGTAAACTAGCTGCTCCTGCTGCCTCGGCTGCTTTAGGTGTGAACGTAGCATAAGTCTTTTATTTTTTTGGGTCATTTTCTTTTCGCTTTTTTAAATCTTGTATTTATAACTTTGAAAACTACTGTTTTCCTTTTTTTTTAGAATCAACTTTCTGTTCTTTTTCTCATTTACTGTTTCTGTTATTTTTACTCATATTACATTTGCTTAGAAATATATTCTACATTAAACTCAGAAATCCATAACTAGGTACCTTTGTCTTTTATTTGTTGCTGCCTCTTAGCCAGAAATACAATAAAAGAGGTTTTTAATCTCAGTGGGATTATCCTGGTTAGATGAAGGTAAAGAACACCAAAGGCCTGTACCACGAAGCAGCAGTAATAGGTTAGCGAGATAACTTCAGCCTGAATCCTGAGTATCCGGTACCTCAAAGCTGGATTCAATCTTAGCGAGACTAGTCGCCATGGTAACATACTAGCTTTAAGGAAAAATCTGAATCCTAGAAAACGCTCCACCCAGAGCCCTGATTTAGTTCAGAGGCAAACAGAACTTAAACATATCCTCATGATAAAATAACTTAAAAATTAAACAGCACTTAAAATATGTTCTTGAAAAACGGAGTGGTTTTTAATCAATTTTTTTCCTTGCTTCCTTTCTGACAGACCAAACCTTTACTGGGGTAGATGTTACAGTGAGGCTGTTCTGATGGGGGATTAATGGTTAACCAACAGGTAAAAAATTTATATGACGTAGTCGTGGCATTAGCTTCCAGGTTTATTTTAGTCAAACTTTATTAATTAAAAAATCCAACTAACCAGATGAGATTATGTTTTTCTGTTTTATTTTTATTTGTTCCCAAGTTCTATTTACTCCAGGGGGGAATGCGATTAACATGGAGTACAATGATTGGGATGCAGGCTGTGGTAAATTACACTGATGTGTATCTTGCTCATCTATGCAGTCAGCAATCCTTTACCTTGATATTTGCCGTCTTTCATGTCAAAACCCAGTTTGACTTTTCATTGAGGCTTGTTTCTTTTTTTCTTATATCTGTAAGATGTGTTTTTGTTTCTCGCAGGAGACGTACTGCTTTGTCTCTTCTGTGCTCATGATTGTGCTTGATCTGCTATCTTGAACCCCCTGCTTTATACTTGCTCATGATCAGTTCAATCTGTAACTGAGTTAGCGATTTGATAACCAGCTTCGTGGTACTGCTGATCCTGATTGCAATTATTGTGGATTGGTTAAATAGGATAGGCTGGAAGTAATCCCACTAGGTTGGGCATGACTCATGGTACGGGTCCCTGGAAATACCAGGTCTCACAGAGATATGTACATTTATAGATGTGTTTCGTTTGTTGTGTCGATCGAATTCAAAGTGACCAGCTAAAGACACACTTTGGATCCTTTACTTCAAGTTTCAGGGACCAGAATCTACTATTAGATGTTTTGTTTATCTTCTCTGCTCTAGTATCTTAACATTGATAACAAACAGAACCATCTATTCGCTTATTATTGTCAGGAGTTATCAAATGTTTTGCTGTTGAATTTATGTGTTGTTGTCTATTACCATGCTATTATTAGCCTGTCCTGCTATCAACAAGCTAACATTATTCCACCTTGCTATCACCACGCCAATATTAGCTCGCCTTCATATCACCATGCTAACATTAGCCCTCCTTGCTATCACTATGCTAACATTAGCTCACCTTGCTATCAACATGGTAACACTAGCCCACCTTGCTATCACCACGCTACCATTAGCTCAGCTTGCTATCATCGTGCCAACATTAGCTCACCTTGGTATCAACACGCTAACATTAGCCAGCCTTGCTATCACCATGTTAAAATTAGCCTGCCTTGCTTATCAACAGGCTAACATTAGCTCACCTTGCTATCAACGTGCTAAAATTAGCTCACCTTGCTATCACCACGCTACCATTAGCTCAGCTTGCTATCATTATGCTAACATTAGCTCATCTTAATATCAACATGCTAACATTAGCTCGCCTAGCTATCACCATGCTACAATGAGCTCTGTTTGCTAATTACCATTCTAACATTAGCTCACCTGGCTATCACCATGCTAACATTAGCTCGCCTTGTTATCCCCTCTCCAGTCTCTATTTCACCAATCAGGGACTTCCCTGCATCCAAACAATAAATGTATCTTTTTACCTGTTGTGTCAGAGAGCAGAAGATGGTAAACAAACCATGGCTAACTGCAACATTAACATGAACAAGCACATTCATCAGCAAATTCTTGTAGGTACCCTCTCAAGATAAAAGGGTCTAAATAAAAATTTTTTTCCCAAAAAAAGGATCAAACGTGAACATAAAGAGGACTTTAGAGGATGTTATTGGTAAATTAGAACGATATGACTCGATTAAAGCTCCAAACATCAAAAGATTTATACACTTCCTTTTTAGATTGTAGTACCTGCTTTCAACCCAAAGGGGGCGGAGCAAAAACAGGGAGTGACGTGGCATTAAAGTGATCAACAACAGAGGAGAGACTTCGCCCATTTTCTGTCTGTCACCACTTGATAAAGACGAGGACAGCCAGCGCTGCGTAGCCCAGGATGAGGAAGAGGACTTTGAGGAGCCGGTCCCTTTTGTCCTCCAGCTCTGGAGACAGGATCTCGAAGAAGGTGACAAACAGGAAGGTTCCAGCAGCGATTCCCTGCAGCAGCACCGATGCCAGGCTACCCGCCAGCGTCTGGGCCGACTCGATGCCCATCCCCACCACGATCCCAAGCGGGATCATCAGGCTGACTGTGACGGCCAGCTTGGCGGCGTCCTTCATGCTGAGCGATGCCTTGGCCACGCTGACACCCAGGGCGACGGCAGCCAGCGTCTCATGGATGGCCACACCCAAGAACAGGCTGCCCAGCTTAGCGGCATCCTCCTGCAGTCCGAGAGCCAGCCCCTCGAACACGGAGTGTGCGGACAGGGCCAGAACCAGACCGGCCAGCCTCAGAGGCCCTGCCCCCGCCAGCTCGCCAGGTGCGAAGTGTGCATGGTGGTGTCCCCTGTCCCTACGTCCGTCTCTGCCTGCCGAGCCCCGCGCCGAAGGGATGAAGGGCGCGTCGTACTCGGAGTCACTGCCAGCCTCGGAGCCAACTGCGTTGAAGGTCTCCAAGTCGATGAAGGACGGTTTCTCCTTCCTGAAGGTCAGAATGGCCTGCTCCACGAACACCGTGATGAAGAACCCCACCATCATCATGGTTTCAGCCAGCGGATAATCACTGATGATCTGCAGCTGCTGAAAGACGCCGTCCACCTGCAGAGAGGACAGCGGTCAGGGTTTCCATGGAGACAGAGAAGAGATCAAACATCTGGGTAGTAATCAGAGGAAAAATATGATTTTGATACATTTTGACTTTTTCATTTTCCGTTTCAGAAACTGGAGAAGGATGAAAGTTTAGAGACCAACTGTTAATAACGCTCAGTTTTCTTTATTCTCTTTAATCAAACTGAGAACAATAGTCATCAACAATAGAAATGAAAGTTGACCCATTTACAATTAACCAACAGGTTACATAAACTGAGTGTCTTTATCGGTGTACCAATATTGGAGATTTTAGGAGTTGTCCCATATAATCGTTGCCTTTTGGGATAACCAAGTGTCTTTTCAAATGTATAATTGCTGCTTGTAGAGAGGACTTATTCTTAAAAAGAACATTAACCAAACTTAGCTCTGTTTTTTTATCAGATATCAGAATCTGCAGAGATCCAATTTATAGCATAATATCAACAGTGATCAACATGAACCAGGAACAAACCATCAGTTCTGATGAACAACAGGAAACCTGCAGTCTCTGGGGAAACACAGCTGGGTTTTAAATCAGCTTCAGAAAGACTTGTTCAGAGGTTCTTCGGTATCTGATCATCAGATGGAGCCGTTTCCTCTTCCCGATTAGCTGTGGCTGTTATCTTTGTTTTCAAGTGTTTCATGTTTCTACATTTTAATCTTTTATTGTTATAAGAAGAGTTTCGTTTTAGCTGAAGCGGTTTTATCCTTCAGCCTTTTCCTTAATATGTTCCATGTGGTCCTACTTTCCTCCCCCAGCTGTGTGCAGCTGATTGAACCTTTCCTCTGAGTAAATGGGGTCTCTGCTGTGTGTGTTTACCTTGTCTCTGACAGCTGGCAGCAGGGCGTTAAAGCATGTTGCAAGGAACACACCTCCTCCAAACGAGTTGCACAGAGCCAGCCCTCGTCTGTACCTGTTGGCTTTTTCATAGTCGACCAGCAGGAGGCGCACTGGGACAAGTATGCCAGCCAGCATGAGACCAAACAGTCCCAGCAGACCAAGCAGCTTGACAACCAGGATCTGCATCCTGACTCTGTCCGGATGCTACAGCTGGAATAGTGACATATCCTCCAGTCTGTTACCTGATGGTGGAACTGCTGGTTTCACTGGTGGAGACAAAAAAAAAAAAAACACTGGTAAAGAGAGCAGAGGAACCAGATTCCCCAGCTAGAGTTTAGTTTCTGATGCGTACTTGACAGCCAAAGGAGTCAGACTCATGATGCATTGACCCTAATCCACCAGCAGAATGTTCAGATCAACTGATTTACAGTAGAGTTATTAGAATTTACAAATTGCAGTTGATGATTTGAAGGATAAACAAAAACATTTCCACTGAATAGCGTAGAATAAAATCACACATTAGCCTTTAGCAGCTTTAAAACTGTTAATTTCCTTAATTTATAAAAACGATCTGACTGCAGGAACGGATTAACTGAATTAGGTATGTGGTCTGACATGGTAGAAGGAAATGATGAAAGCCTTGAGACTAGGGCTTAAACAACTAGTTGGATTAATCGTCAATCAATTATTAAAATAATCATCAACTAATTTAGTAATCAATAACTGGAGTGTAGAGACTGTAAAACATGCCTTTAGCTAACAGAGGATCCCACTTAGGGTAGTAATTATAACAAAATTGTAAAAAAAAAAAAAAAAAATGTTTGTCCATCATTATGTTCTATTCAGAAAACCTCAAGTGAAAAAGTTTTAGTTTCACCTAGTTTCATTTCATTAAAAGTCTTCTTTAAAGAATCTTTGGCTGTCCGATTATCAATTAATTGATCGATTTGCTAAATAATTGTTAGTTGTGCAGGCCTACCTGAAACATTTTAATGAATTGGGGAGGAGCTGAATGATCAGAGGCTCAAATGAAATTTTCTGTTCCCGATTTATTTTCTCTACAAAAGGTTTTTACTTCATTAATAAGGAGGCGGTTTAGTGAATTCCTGTTTGGGACGTAAACACACCCAGAATATCATCTTATCATCTACATTATCTGTATTTCTTTCATAAACCAAACAGTTAATTTCTGTTTCCCAAAAGTTTATCTTCCTTAGGGATGGGAATCAAAAATGTGTGTTCCAATTCCCTGGCACCGTTTGGCAGCTTGCTTAACGGTTCTCCTAACGGTTCCAGGCAGCACCAGAGCCTAGGGCTCTGGGCAGCATGACTTAGGTCACGTTTTTATTACAAGTTATGCACACGGCATTCAGTAAGCAAGTAGAATGTGACCAGGTGTAAGTCTAGAAAAGCAAAACAAAAGAGGTCAGGAAGAGAAAGATGACAACAAGGTGCTTTGCAATCATTGCAAAGTGGCAATTACATCTGCGGGAGGAAATACATCCAGCATGCAGAAACACCTGCGTACACAACACGGCATACATTTTAACGAATGCCGTGTTTTTAATGCCTTCCGGACAGAAGCTAAAGTTATGACCAGCATGGAAGGCAACTCTGGTGGTAAGTAGCTAGTTTTAGATCACTGGCTGTGCTTAATGTGATTACTAGTTAATGATATGCCATTTCATACCTCTCTTTGGGGTTATTAAGGGAGTGCCTTTCTCATTAATCCAACCCTTCATTGATAGCACATTTAATTAGAACTACTAGTAGCTGGAATTCTTACATGATTCTAATTATTGCAATGCATGTAACGAAACATAGTACAAAGTTGCTCTGCAGTTCAGGGAGCGAGAGAAAGGTGACACTTGTTTCTTTAAATGAGGGTGAGACGAGTTTATTTCCTTAAATTGTACAGTAATGCTTTTTCATTAAACGGATGCCTTCTCCGTTAGATTTAGATGACTGTGACGAGACGGGTAGCCTGGCTGGTTCAGAGGCTGGCAGCTCCCGTTCACTGCCTTCTGATTTCGCAGAGGCAGGCAGAAATAGAATGTCCCGAGTGAAGGTGGACGGATGTCACCATGCACTTACCAAGTTCATTGTTTCACAGAATCGATAAAGTAAAGAATCGAATCGCTTCACAGAATCGATAAGGGAATCAAAATTCTGAAAATCTTATCAATTCCCAATCCTAATTTTCCATAATGAACTCGCTGATCAGGTGGCTAATCGGGATTCAGGCTTCAACCTGGAAATAATGAAAGCTGAACATGCTTTATTTGGGAATTTCTACATGCTTTAATTTTTTGCTCTATTGCCTAACATTGAATAATATGAAAGTATTTAAAAGTCTGTCGACGGTCTATTGGATGGATTTTTGGATCAGCAGCATCTTAAATTTTGAATCCCGAAATCATCAGAAATTATTTTTAATAATTGTTTTCTGACAAATCGTACTAGAACCCAGTCTCGGGCACCTTGCCCTTAAATGCCCTGGTTACTGCTTGATCTGTTTTCCACATTTAAACTGGAACCGACACCAGTTGAAATCGGTACCAAGAAGAGGAACCTTGGGGATGGGACGCTTAACCAAATACTGACTTCTTCAATTCTTCATCTGTTAGCTGATCTACGAGAAATAATCTGCTTCCTGTGACGAATTTCACTATAACACCTTCTCCTCCTTATCAAAACAGATCAGAATGCTTCAATATCTTTCAGTATTAATCAATCATTAACACTTCACTACAAACAGGTGATGTAGCTTTTAGTAAGAAGATGGTAAACAAAGACCACATTAGGATACTTCCGGTTAGCTGTCCGGCTAACAGGGGCTAGCTGCGCACAGAGCTACGGTTTCTGCGCAGAGCCGGAACCGGTTAGAACCGCTGTTCCCGACGTTTTTAAAGCACTTTTAAAATATTAGGAAAAGTTTTTACCACAAACTGCAGAAACAGCTTCTTTACCTTCATTAGCATCTGTCCTCTGCGCCGCCGGCAGGTGCGCTGGAACGTTTCCATTCCGCGTCACTCTCGACGTGAGCGCCGATTGGTGGATTGGTGATGACGCAGAACTCCTCCACAGTAGAGCTATGGGGATGGGACGAATCATATCCCTCCATGGCTCTGCTTCTTAGAGCATATTTATTATCATTGATTATTCGCTTTAAGAATCTTTCTCTGATCACTGAGATTTTATACATTTAATAAAGACTTTGAAGCTCAGAGCTTCTTGCTAATCCAGCAGTGATATCAGATGACACCACCTGGCTGGGTCAGACACCTGCTCCTTTCCTTGATTTTTCTCTGCCTTTAGAAACTGACTGGTTCTCAGCGCCCAGATCTAGGCAGTTTTCTGTCCATCCACCTTCTTCCACTTATCCAGGGTCAGGGGTAGCAGCTTCAGAAATGAGGCCCAGACCTCTCTCCGTTGGAGCCAACTCCTCTGGGGAAATCCCAAGGCATTCCCAGACCAGCTGAGAAACATAGGCTCTCCACTGTATTCTGGGTCTCCTCCAAGTGGGACGTGCCTGGAACATCTCACCAGGCAGAACATCCTCCCCAAACCGTAGAAGGCACTCTAACCTTTTACAGCTCATGACCATGGTCTTGGATTTGGAGGCACTCATCCTTCACACAAACCAGCCCAGTTCTTTTTCTGAACAAAACTAATACCCATGTTCTGATTATTGAGCAGCTCTTCACTTCAATTCACTGATCCTCACCCTTTTGGAAAAAAAAATATCTCCTGGGTGATTTAATCTCACTCTTTAATCTTGAGCAGTTTACCAAGCACCTCTCAGGTTTTCCATCTTAAAATCCATTCTTCAGACCCAGAATCAAACATTAAGAACCAGTCTTTAGATGTTAACTCCCAGAAAACTGCTTAAACTCTGCCTTTGATCTCAGCTGTTAAATGAAACATTTCAGCTTTGTAGTCAAACCTTTCTTTACCGTTCTCTACTGTTTCAGTGTCTCATTTTTTATTTATTTTTTAAGTCCACCATTATGAATTGTGCTTCCCAAATAAACTGGCTTGGCTGGCTTACAGAACAACTTACGCCAACAGTTGACAATAAGCTGCAGAGATAACATTTCCTGTCCACCTGCATCCTTTGCTTCAGATTATTGGCCAAAGATCTTCCTGATAATCCTTTCTACCACCCATGGAGGAAGTTTCCCTTTCCTCCACCTTCTGCATTACAAAGGTTTCTATTATCAGCCATCTGGCATTCAGGGTAACAGTTTATGTATTACTTATTACATTTACTTACTGGGGGAAAAAGTGCCACTGTTTCCATGGTAACACATGAAAACCACTGTCAAAAACGAACATTGAGGAACAGAATAATAAATGTCGAGTCATTTTCCAGTATATATTGTAGTAAATCTTAAGAGGGGCCCTTGACCTGTCTGTTGGACCCCTCATATGATGGACACAGGTCTGGTCCTCTCTGCTGATGTCAAGACCTCGTCTCACTTAAGCAACAGAGGGTGTAGGTTTTAACTTTCTTTTTTTTTTAAACCTGCTTTTTTAGTTCCACCAGTTTTTGTCTTTTGATTTATCTTTTTTTTAGGTCAATCAATCATGGCTTCCAGCAGGTGTTCTGACACTGAAACCTTCCTAAAAGCAGCTGGAAATCTGCAAGTTTACAGAGAAAACCACAATCAGAGCTCAGAGGAAGTAAAATGGTGAGATGCTCTTTTTAATTAAAGTGTGTTCAAACAGCCTCCGTCCTGCAGCTCCACATGGCTGAGAAGTTTCCAGTTCATTTATGCCAAAGCAGTTTCTCACTCACTCACGCACCCACCAACCCACTCAGAGATCCCAAGAAATGGACAGAAATGCTTTTCAGTCACATAATGCTGTTTTCAGCTAAAATAAAACCGACTTGAAGGTGTTGAACATCAGAGTTTCTGAGGCTGAAATTCTCCTCTTTAAACCGACACCGAGCTGCAGGAGGAGGAGCGGGGTGTTCCTGAACAAAGCTTAAACTCTCTCATGCTTCCATTATACAGTTATGGAAAAAAAGAAAAATTTCCTTATAGTCCTTGAGTTATACAATCCACATTAGAAAGGGACCAAGTCAGACGCCGCCTCCAGGAAACCTGTTCAACCTGAAACAGACAGAGGAGGAAAAACAAATGAAATGCTGCAGAGCGAGGCTCAGATCACACCTCAGGATCTTTTTACTCACACTTGAAATTAGGGAAGTTAAACCAAGTCATTCTGAGCTTTTAATGATGTGAATCAGGACCGGTCATTTAAATTCCATATCAAAGGGGGTTCTTAGAATATCCTTATTTTATCTCCGGAATATTGCATAAATAAAACACTTCTTATCCAGGGGTGATGCTGAGAAACTAGTCCATGCATTTGTTACTTCAAAGCTGGACTATTGTAATTCTTTACCACCAGGGGTTTACAGAAAACTCTATGGCTATGGCTATGGCTATGTGTCCGAATGTCCGCCCTAATCCATATATAGGGAATTATATAGTGATTACGCTATTATAGATGAGTGTCCAAACATCTAGTGGATTAAAAAGTAGTAGACTTGGTGATTATCCATGGTCACTAGACTAGCAGATATATCCCATAATACTTTGCAAGGAGCGCTCTCCTATGTAAACATTTCTAGGTATATAAAACTTAATTCTTACTAGTATAATTTTGTTTTGTTTTTTTTATTTTCTGAAAGTTTAGTTTCTGCGGCAAAAATGCAATCTAGAAAATATATTATTATAGTTCAGTCTAAGAGTGGGATTTTGATCAGGAATAAATGTTGTTTTAGTGATCTACAAATGTTACAAGGAGGAGAGTGCTTTTAATAAATGTAAAAACAGCCTGCCATAGGGGACTTCTTATAAACCTACACATTAACCCGAGCACTAATCTTCTCCTTCGCCATCTTCCTCTTCTTTGTAACTGTAGCGCAGTTT